GTGTGTGTGTGTGTGTGTGCAGGCGTGTTTGGGGCGTTCGGGGTGTCCAGGTAGGGAGCAGACCTCCTAGGAGTGATGAACCGCTCCATGAACCCTGATGGCCGTGATGGTTGATCAGCTCCACTCGTACCTGGTACCCAGCTCTGCTTCCTGTGACTCCACGAAGCTGTACTGTCAGCAGCAACCACAGTCTGATAACCGCTTTATTTGAGCGTTCTAACCAGCCGAAGGTAGACAGTGAAGCTTAACTAACATGGTAAATCTACACGTGGGAAGATTTATTTAGTCTCTAAAGCTGAACTAGTTGCCGGTGGTAGGCGTGGATACAGTCGCTATACCTAATCAATCATAGTTTCTCAACTTTAAAAGTCCTGCGGAGAAAGCAACAACTGTCATATCGGCGCCCTGGGCTAATTATAGCCGTTTTCTTGCTAATCTAAAGGTTTGATCCACAGCAGAGCTCGATAGTCACACGGGATGCCCATTCAGCCTCAATGAGAAGCGGCTAGCAGGGGGACCCTCCTGGTAATCACACCGTCTACAACCTGATCCTGGCTCGTGGATGTCAAAATACAGCCTAAACACGATATACAACAACAACAACCCTATTCTCCTACTCTGCGTCGCTCATGATGATCCAAGTGTCATGCCACCCGTCAGGGTGACCCCAACCTGAAATGCCCACTGTCTTCTAGGTCATCTAATGGCCAACCTACCAGAGAGGAGGGCAGCAGGCGCCGTCGCGAAGTGGCACGATTCAGCGTGGACGTCGCCTCACTCAGTCACATCTGGCCCTGGAACAGTGACAGTTGGACGAGGTCCATGCAGGTTATATCTAGCTCCAGAGTGCCATCCGAAGGATGAATTCCGTGATATTGCAGTTGCTTTAGTCATCATGCTCAACCCCTTCAGGAAAACGCATTATTTCCCCTCGTCTTGTTGGACCTCCACTCCGTGGATGAAGTAACCACCAACACCAGTGCTTGCACCGCTACAGGGACAAACAGTAATGAAGCAAAATTACAGTTCTGCAGAGATTTGTGTACCTTCCTCGTGCTTCTGTCTAGGGCGGACAGGCTGATCATTGTAGGTTGTATAAGCTCTTAGGTAGGCCGCTTAGACGTCGCGAGATGAATCGTGGCAATAGAAAGGGACATTTCCGACTGGGGACTCGAGTAGGACGCAACTACATCGTCGCCAACACCATCTTTGGACTTCTTGATCACAGGAATATTATATGGCGGTTTGATCGCCGATTCCAACAAAGTCCACCGTGTGCCCCACAGCAGGTCAGACGCAGAAACGATGTCTTGCACATGGTAGCAAACTTGCGCCGAATCTACCACACTCCCCCTTCTCCACCCGCCTGGACCCCGTGTTAAGATGTAATTAAGAAGCCCGGGGGCGGAGCCGAGCACACGGAGCTGGCATGGTGTGAGCCCGCGCCTAGGCGTGCCACCAGACCCATTCATGACATCTCACGTGGTTGGACCTTCCCAATAACGCCAGCTGTAGCCAGATCTTTTCAGGTGTGGTTATGTAATCCCACCTGAAGTAAACAAACCCTAGCCACCTGTAATACGGGACCGGTGGCAGTAGGGGATTTTAAAGGTGGAGAGGGGGAACGCACAGGCAACGAGGTCAATTAGTTGTATGCAAAATAAAAGACATTGAGAATGCGCGGTTGTACTTTGAGTGGTTGAGAAATAATTACCCAAACCCCTAACTCCAACCCCAACAGTACTGTGTCCATCAGGCGGAACTACATAGCCACATCTTACCCCTGTCATGTGTTGATCCAGCGCATCTACCGCGTGGCCCTTATTAGGGAAACACGGGAAGATTATATATATATATATATCGCCTTACCACTAGTTAGCCCCAAATTATGGGCGCGTTATGTTGATGAGAAGTTTTTCAATGTTAAAGGTGATCAACTGAAAATACTCCACAATATTATTAACCCAAAACTTCCAGCAATCACATTCACACTCGAGAAAGAGGACAAACTCCCGTTTTTTGATGTCCTCGTACAGAGAAAGCCTGGTGGAACATTTCACACTTCGGTTTACCGCAAGGAAACCTGCGCGGAAATTCGTTTATATTACGAGAGTAATCACCCGATCTCTCACAAACGGAGCGCCGTGAATAGCCTCCTTAACCGAGCCAGAACTCACTGCTCTGACAACGAAACCCATAGAACAGAACTGAATTATTAGTTCAAACTGTTTTCCCGGAAGGGGTATCCTAGATAGTTTGTGCATCGACGCATGAGACGAAAAGAGTCAAAAGGAAAAGACAAGGACCTAGATCGTTCCGATCAAGCACCCAAACCAAAAAACTGGCGATCACTTCCGTACATTAAGAATGTGTCCGAACTATTTGAAAGACACCTGAGGAAGCATCATCATCATCATCATCATCATCATCATCATCATCATCATCATCATCATCATCACCACCATCATCATCATCATCACCAAACCTCTCGATTCCGGTGGCAGTGATAGAGGAGGGAGGAGGAGGATGTTCACTTGTTTAGGTTATTCGAATGTGCCTCAATGGGAATCCAAATATTCTGATATGAAGTAGATGTGTTATCTCATGGGATGTTTACCGAAATTCTGGAACAGGTTTTCGGTTCGAAAAGATTGCTTAAGTAGAGTTGTAATATAAAATATCATGCGGCACTCATTCACTCACGACAAGATGCCAACTTTTGAATGAGCTTCTTTTCGACCGCATGCAAGATCAAAGCTGTGTAAAAGTGCCTACTTAAGTAGTGCTAGTTTTTCTCATCGATTTTCAATGTCCCTATAAATTTGGATATATTATTTAGAAGATATTTGTAAAATATTCCCTTTTATACTCGTTTGGTTTTAAAAATTTTTACGATCGCCTGATAATTTTTTGGCCCCTCTGCCGTCACATTTGCATTCAGGGTCTTCAAACTACATGCTGTACACATGCCGGCAAGGAAATATCACACATTTTCCTATCCCGTAAGGGGGACGTCTAATAGGACTCATAAAATGATTTAATGGATAAGGATCGGGTCGCATACTTTATAGGTGGCATTAATGAACGTGTCAATGCGATGAGACATTTCGCGGCCTTAAAAAGCCCCACGATTAGGGACTTTTTGAAACCAAAAGATACTTATTGTTTAAGCAGAAAATTTCAACGTGTAATTTTCTACCAAATGAGTACAAGAAGAAATAGTTTTGTGCATGATCTCTATATAATATATTTGAATTTATGAGGAGATAAAAAAATAGATTGAAAAACATACTACTTAAGTGGCCACTTTACAGGTTTTAGACCTTGCCGACGACCAAAAGGGCTCATTCAGGAGGCGGCATTCTGGTGTGACTGAAATACCTTGAGACTGTGCTGCATAACGACCAATATTACAGACCTACTGAAAAACCCTTTTCGAATCAAAAACAAATTTCCAAATTTGGGTCAACATTTAATAAGACAGCAAATCTATTGTACCTCATTTTGAGGTATTCTAGTACCCTTACCATAGCTTATGGTAAAGAAATAAAGGAACAGTTTAATTATACAAGCAGAGAGGTTTGAAGTGGTCACTTTTGACAGAGCCAACTTTCTGCCCCCGGGGGGGGGGGGATTCTGACATGTCTGAGTTGGGGTCGGTTGGCCAGGGTCGCTGCCTAGGTGCTCTCAGCGAAACCTGTGCCCTTCCCAGGTTGGCTGATTATGCGAATGCAGACCAAGTTAATTTAAAGGGTTGAGGTAACAAACGGGACTCCTGTCGGCCTGGCTTGCATTTATTTGCACGATGGGGTTCCTTTCTGGCTACACCCATCGCATCTTATGGATCACATTCATGCATTCACCCTGAATCAACTAGAGCTCGCTGATGCTGCTGCTGCTGCTGCTGCTGCTGCTGCTGATGATGATGATGATGATGATGATGATGATGATGATGATGATGATGATGATGATGATGATGATGGCGGTGGCAATGGTAATGGTGGTGGTGATTATGATGATGAGGATGATGGTGGTGGTGGTGGTGGTGGTGGTGGTGGTGGTGGTGGTGGTGGTGGTGGTGGTGGTGGTGGTGGTGGTGGTGGAGTGAACTGACGAAGAGGGAGGAAGCGTGCGAGCGCGGACGCTGCCCCCTACAGCAGAACAATCAGAGTGGGCACGCCAGCCAGGTAGGCCTGGAGATCGTGGGGTGTCCAAGATCACAGTGGTTTGGAAAGCGTTTAAAGGTGAATCACCAAACTGGTTAGAGGTCGAAGCTCAATTTCCGCATGCAAACCTCCAAACAAGGCTGAAACTCTTAGTTACAGAGAAGTGCGCGGAGATCTCTGGCAAGCGTTCCTAGTTGTAGACATGTTGAATTTGCTACCAGGACCAACCTCCGAGGTCATACATTAGAAATGCGCGTTCAGCAGGCAAGGCTGATTGTGCGCAAGTTATTTTCTGTCAGTGTTCAAGCCACAGATTGTCCTCCCGCACCACTGAGGAAAAACTTGAAAAGGAACCTTGGCAGATTTATGCTCCAAAATGAGCCTTGAGGTTCCTACCCAAATTCGCATACTTTTATGGTCCCAATTGAACTTCTGCAGCCCACATTGTTACTCTGTACCCTGCACCCACTTTTACTCACACCTATTTCCCTTAATAAACTGAGCTGAGCCTACCATCCATACAGTAGTTGGACCAACTCATGAAATGTCAACCGAAATTCCGAAATGCGTTTTCGTTTCGAAAAGATTAATTAAGTAGGGTTGCAAAACTAGTCAGCCTGCAACATAATTCTATGATGTTTCAGTTACCTCAGGATGCCGGCTTTTGAACAAACTCCCTTCCGGCTGCATCCAAAAACTATCCTCTGTAAAAAATGACTACTTATGTAGCATGCATTTTCCCCATTGATTTTCGATGTCCCTAAACGTCCAGTTGTATTCCATGGAAAACATGCATAACAATATTTATCCTTTTGCTCATTCGGTAGATAATTACGTCTTCTTCCAATTTTATACTCGAAGGGGGAACATAATTCGGTTTTAAAAAGTTTCTAATTGTGGAACTTTTAAATACTGTAAAATGGCCGTCAATAAATCGTCATATCTCTCCATTTACTAATGTGGCTTGTAAATGTAACAATATGAATCAAATCCACTGCTTAATTTTGTGAACCCAATATGGTCCCGTTTAGTACCGCAGAGAAATGTGTGGTTTTCCGTACGCGGAAAATACGAGGCTTGTAGTTTGGGAACCCAGAATTTAAGTGTAACGGTAGGACGGGTTTAAAATTATTCGTGAATTGGAAACCTTTTTTTAAAACCGAATTATACCCTTCCCTCGAGTATAGGAGAAGACGTAATTATCTACCGAATGAGCAAAAGAATGAATATTTTAGGCATGTTTTCCATGAAATATAATTGGACTTCTAGGGACATCGTCAAGCGACAACGTCTAACACATGCGCCACAAAAGGAGCACAACATTGGTGACTCAGGCGCGGACTTGTGCAACATCTACTGCATTCATTGATGACAAAACAATGTAAAGACGGTCGGCTGTGAACTCCGGTGCAGTGACCGGCTAAGATAAGCAGTCCGTCTACGCGTGCCACGTGCGATCCGGTCCGGATACTGAAGGGACGACTCCACACGAGTGGGAGTGCCGCAAAGGCTATATTGCGGCCGTCTACAAACTTCTGTTCGCCTACGAATACACCCTGAATGCAATTACTGAAGGAGACATGCATGGCAGAGCCTGAAACTCTTCTCCGTTGCCTGCGAGAGCTTCGGCCTGATCATCAACACGGAGAGAAGGCGGTGCCCATGCACTAACCGCCACCCAACACAGCCCCTCCCCACAACGCGCCGCAGATCAGCGTGAGTGGAACCCACCTGCAAGTGGTCGACAACTTCACGTATCTGGGCGGCACCCTCTCCCGCAGCACCAAAATCGACGATGAAGTGACCCTGTGGATTTCCAAGGCCAGTCAAACCTTCGGTTGTCTCCAAAACAGAGTTTGAAGTCGCCACGGTCTTCAACTCGGCGCAAAACCGAAGATGTACAAGGCCGTCATCCCATTGACGCTGCTGTATGGAGCAGAGACCTGGACGGTAGAGATGAAGCAGGCACGCAGACTCAACCAGTCCCACCTCAGCTGCCTTCGTCGAATACTGAAGCTGAGGTGGCAGGACCGGATCCCAGACATGGATGCACTGCAGCAGACGGGAATCCTCAGCATCTACGTCATGCTAAGACAACTCCCACTGCGTTGGAGTGACCATCTCGTACGGATGGACGACGAGAGGCTACCCAAAAAACTCTTTCATGAAGATGTAGCGACGGGTTCACGACGAAAAGAGGGTCAAGTTCTGCGCTACGAGGATACTCTGGAAACCTTCCTGAAGCGCCTACAGATCAATCCGGCAAACTGGGAAGACCTCACCCGGGACCGACCTACGTGGAGGAGAACAGTGAACACAGGTGCAGCAATCTTCGAAGCCAACCGCATCACCGCCGCCAACGCCCATTCGCCTCCAACGTGTCCACGATTTCAAAGGACATTCCAGGCTGGCTGATAAGGAGGGGGAGGAGGAGCAAGCCAAAAGCAATTAACCAGACCTCCCCATCATCATCATCATCATCATCATCATCATCATCATCATCATCATCATCATCATCATCATCATCATCATCATCATCATCATCATCATCATCATCATCATCATCATCATCAGCAGCAGCAGCAGCAGCAGCAGCAGCAGCAGCAGCAGCAGCAGCAGCAGCAGAGCCATCCACCGTCTCCACGTCTGTGCTGTGGCATCTACCTTGCCCATCAACACTACACACAATCCTGACACTCTAACAAACACCAGCAGCACCACCGTCGACACCAGTGGTGAGGACCTGGTGTATACCTGTCCTCATTGCAATCGCACCTTCACCTCACGCATCGGCCTGATCGGTCACTTGCGAATTCATCGTACAGAGACAGGCAAACCAGTGCCTGGAGCACCAACCTTCACTCGCAGAATTCGCCACCACTGTCCACATTATACTCACACATTCATTCACCGCATGGGTCTATTAGACCATATGCACGTCCATGGGTAGGGTCTCTCAGTCGATGATTGTTTGGTCACCCAACCTTGAAGGGTTACGGCCCAGGCTAAATGCAGGACCACGTGTCGCCCTTCTAGGTCAAAAGGTCTCAAAGTGTGTGCCATGCCAGTATCAACAAACCATGGCCCTCGCGGCCTGGTATGCGCTGGCGGTTCCCTGACACCTGGTTCCATGCCGGTAGATGCCCTTGCGTTCCCGCTGGGTATACAAGTGATGGGCATGGCTGCTCAGTCATAATCCTCGTCCTTCTGACCCCCTGTTGGGGTGTTGTTGTTGGTGGTGGTGAAAAATCCTGACCAAATGTACGTTGTGGCTCGAGGGTTATGATGGCACGCCTAGATGCTGATCCGGCCGTGCCAGCCACTTGCGCCCTTTCCCGCCTCCGGTCTTCTTGACTCTGTCCTGACACTGGGCCCACGTACGGGAGGAGAGAGTGCGGTAGATGCTGCGCAAGTGTGCCATAAAATAATCCACGCGCAAGTCACCGTGTCTGCCGCATCTTGCTGTGTAGCACACGCTAAACATCGTCGGACTAGACGGCCGAACTGTCATCATGTCGGTTGTGCCACCATCGTTCTGAGTTCCGCACTGAGTCCCTGAGGGAGTCTCGGCTGAGGGAGGTGAGATTTTGCAACAGGTAACGAGAAGGCAAATCTCCCCTTAAGAGTCACATTTTTGTCAAATTTCCTTGCACCTACCAGGTGCATAAAGCATAAACCGTCTAAACTTGCGGGAGTTGCCCTTGTCCTATAACAGTGAAGTAAGCTTGTCCATGAGTTGCGGCCTATTTTCAGACTGGGCTGAGAGGCATATGCAGTTCCGGAGGGCTGGCGACCGTAGACAGTCATGCCTGTCATGAAAGAACCTCCTTTTTCACCGTTATCTGCCTATACCCCGTTATCTGGTCGATAGTCCTGCATCTTCCTCAGTCTTTTTTGCCGTTGAAGACCGTAGCGAGGGAGAGCGGCTTTGTTACGAATTAAATTGTTATTCGTGTAGCTACTATGGAGTTGCCCTTTATCGGATCTCAGTCACTGCAATCCGCTATCACTGGCAACGAACCAACCGTGATGTCTTCGGTATGCACATCCAATACTTTTAATGACAGTCTTGTTGATAGCACTCCATACTCCCGTTCGGTTGCTTTTAAGCGTCTTCAATTTATGGTATTTGAGCAGGGTCCAGATTTTTGTTTATTCTGGAGAGTTTCCGCCAGTATTCAGCCAGCTCCAACACGGCTATGTTCAACTTGCTTGGAGCTTTTTATTTTGGAGCCATGACCACAGTTCGATCATCAGCCTAATTTCGAAATACCAGGGTCCGACGTTCAGCACACTTTGTCGTCCATACTATGCACAAACTGTCAGTATGACAAATTTGTTGGTCAGTACTAGGAGGGAAAGCACATCAGATCGGAGGGATCGACGTCGCAGACATTGGGTCAGAGTAAAGAAGTAACAACCAACGAAGCGTCTGACCATTAAAAGTGCGCGAAAATCAAAAAGTCTGAAACCGCGTGCTATGCCAGGTTCAACAAACCATGCCTTTCGTGGCAGTTCCCTGACACCTGGTTCCCTGCCGGTAGATGCACTTGCGCTCCCGGTGGACATACTGTTGGTGGGCATGGCTGTTCAGTCATCCTCGTTCTTCTGACCCCTGTTGGGTTATTGTTGTTAGTGAAAAATCCTGATCAAGTGTATGTTGTGGACCAGGGGGTGTGGTGGCACGCCTAGGTGCGGGTCCAGCCGCGCCAGTCACCTGCGCCCTCCTCGGCCTATGGTCCTCTTGACACCGGGTTCAGGTAGGGAGTGGGGAAGAGCGAGTGCAGTAGATTCAGCGCGAATCTACCCTCACTATAAACTAAATCACGCTCAAGTCACCGTGCCTGCCGCACACGCCTGACGTCGTCGGAATAGACGGGCGACTGTTATATTGCGGCCGCATTGTCAGCCCATGGAAGGGGAAGTTATTCCGCCATTTGGTAGCCT